ACTCTGGCATTTCCCACCTGAGACGCAGCTGCCCTGGGCCCAGCTTGGAGACAGCCGTGTGACGCAGGCTCCAGCCCTGGGCTGTGCTGTCACACCATGTGCACCCTCCCTGGTCCCCCAGGGTCGAGAAGCAGGCACAGCCTGGCCGTGGGCTCAGCCCCTGGCCATCCGGGCTGAGTGCTGCGGCCACACCTGGTGGCCCCCGGGCCTTCCGATCACCTGGAGAGGGACGTTCTGCCCCGCCAGCCCGCATGGCGCGTGCAGGCCCCCCGGCCCGGTGGCTCAGCCTCAGCCCTCACCCGCGTGTGTAGGCCGTGGTGACAAGAGCTGTCCAGGGACAGGGATGCCGCCTGCTGCCCTGTCCCGCAGGCCCGGCTGCCGTGCTGAGTGCGCGTCCTCCTCAGTGACCTCCGACCCTGGGCGGGCAGGCCGGCCAGCTCGACGTGCGACGCGGCTCCAGCCTTGGGACGTGCAGACCTGGCCCGCCCCCTGCGAGGCGGGCTGTGGCGACGTCCAGGCCTGTCAGCCCGCGTGCTGGGCCATGTGCCGTGTCCGTGTCCCCCCGCCTACCGCCAGCTGCCTCTGGAGAGAGCAGTGCTTACAGCAGAGGGCCGGGGGCACCCGCCTCCCACCGCCAGCTGGGGCCCAGCACCTCTGGACATGCCGGGACGTGTCGCCATCAGTTGTGATGGGAATGTGTGTCTCAGTGCCAGGGACAGAGTGGCAGATACTGACTGCGGTGGCCAGGAGCCATCTGTCCTCACGGAGAGCTGCCCTGGGGACGCAGGAGGATCCCAACGAGCAAGGTCTCGGCGGAGGCTAGCCCGAGCCCCCTCTGGGTCCCCCTTGTCGGGGGACTTGTCCAGCGCTCTCCGGGGCAGCGGTGACAGGATGGCGGCCTGTGGGGTGTTCTGTTACTCTCTGCCCCGCGGTTTCTGGAAATCTCCCTCTGACACAGCCTTAATGGTCCTCAAAGAAGACATTTCAGCTTGAGAGCCAAACTCGGACACGAGACAGATGCCTTTCAGCAAAGCATCGCCCAGACGCCGAAGCAGAGGCCACTCCTCGCGCTCCAGATGCCGGGGTGTGGACGGGGAGGCGGTGCGGCCCCCAGTCTGTCTGGAGGGGCTTGGGGAAGGTGTTTCTGGAAGATCAGCTCCACCACGTGACAGTGTGATGTTTCACCTGTGAGATGTTTATTTGCACTAGGGGATGGTCCGGCAGCCAGGGCAGCGAACACGGCGGTTGGGATAACCTGAGGTGACGTGTGGCCACACACCAAAGATTAGGGTCAGGAGCAGACGGTGGGGAGGACTCTCTCTGTTCCAGGGTCTTTCTCTCTCAAGGGTCCCTCTGTCCCCAGGGTCTGTCTTTCTTGAGGGTCCCTCTGTCCCAGGGTCTTTCTGTCCCTCGGGCCTTTCTCCCCCGGGGCCCTCTCTCCTGAGGCTCCCTCTGTCCCACGGTCTCTGTCCCAGGGCTTCTGTGTCCCCAGGGTCCCCCGTCCCTCGGGCCTTTCTCCCCTCCGTGGCCCTCTCTCCCGAGGCTGCCTCTGTCCCCAGGGTCCCTCTGCCACCGGTCAAGCTGCACGCATCCTCAGGGCTGCCCTGCCCCGAGGTCCGGGTGTGACCGCCCGGTGTGGTGCCCAGCCCATGCTCCTCCCTCGCCACGAGTGTGCGTGTTTCTACGGTCCTTTTTAAGAACCCAATACGGGTGTAACCGTGATTCCTGTGGGGGACAGATTCTCTGTTTGTTCAGTTGACAAATTATTTGTAATGTATTTTTTAGAAATCTTAAAATGGCCTTTGCACTGAAGTATTTTCATAGCTGTTTATATCTTTTTCATTTGTTAACCTATGGTCTAATTTTTAAAGCGAGTTTTAGAGCTTTCTTTTTTGAAGTTCACCAGATCTTGGCCACTTTGCACTTGACGCCGGCGAGCGTCCGGGCTGAGCGTCTGTCTGAGGCGTGTGAATTTCCGATCTGATGTGATTCTCTTCCTTTCGTGGTGTTGCTGGCGCTGGTGATTAGTTGAGTCGCGTGTTTAGAGACAATAATTTGCTACGCTTTTCCTCACGTTCATTGCAGTTTCATCGGCTGCGTTTCTTGTGTTTGGTTTCCATCCTTCGCCTTAAAGACAGGAGATTCTCACATGGCCGCGTAGGAAGCTGGGTCCCAGCTCTGTTCTGTCGAGACAAGCGCCACTCACCTCAGCCGGTTCAAGTCCCGTGTGGAGGCCACGGAACGGTCACACGCTCCCAGACATCTTGCAAACAGCGGCTCAGGAAACCACACGATGCGCGCGCCTGCTGGCTTGGGGTGGGCGGGGGTCCGTGGTGGGCCGCCTCTAGACAGGCTTGGAGGCCAACCCCGCCTCACAGGGTCGCACTGCTCGCCCCTCCCTCACCTGGCATGCGGCGTCCACGGGGAGCACTGTCTTCATTTTGAGGTCCTGTTCGCTGCTGCACGTGTTCACACATGGTCGGGCCCAGCCGGCCAGGCTGGTCCCGGCCACCCTCCCTCCCCGCCGCAGACCGCCCATCCACGCGCAAGAGGCCTGCCGCAAGCATGCGTCCCTGCCCTCGACTCCACGGCCACTGGCGGCCATGTGGGCCTGCACACGCACACCAAACATGAGTATGTGTGCGCACCACACACAAACGTGCACACGTGTCCACACACAACACACGAGAGCCTCTACACATGTAGACCCACACACGTCGGTGCACACCTACACGGGCACGTCTACACACTAAGCTCCTACACACACAAACACACGCTGTGTCCACAGACTGCAAAGGAGCTCCCACACGTGTACACACGAACATGCCCCATACATGTGTGTGTGAGCTCCTACACACACACACCTCCCGGCGCCCTGCGTCCTTCCTGAGGACCCCGGTGAGCAGCCTCTGGCCAGGCCCGGGAGGAGGAGCCCTGGCCTCCTGCAGGGAAGAGGCTGCCCCCCGGCCAGGCGTCGGGGCTTGGCCCCGCAGCCCCGGGTACAGCACAGCCCGGCTCACACACCCTCTGTTGACACGGGCCTGGTGAGGCTTCTCCCTCCGGGAGGGGCAGGGCCCCAGCAGGAAGCCCCGAGGCCGGGTGGCTCCTGGGGATCCCACCCGCCAACACTGGGCCCTGCCCCCCCGGTCCTGGAGCGGACTGGAAGCGCCGCCCTTTCCCTGAGACCCGCCCAGCCGCCCCACGTGCCCCGACTCGCGGGGTGGTAAGCCGGCACAGGAGGTGGCCAGGCAGGGCAGCCACAGAGGGCCGGTGCTCTGCACCTCAAGCTGCCCAGCGCTGGGTCTGCGGGCCACCCCGTCCACCGTTGTGCGCGACCCGTGTTGGAGCCTGCGGCGGCCTCCTGTCACCTTCTCAAAAGGACACTGGGGACTCGACAGCGTGCGTCGCCGTGAGCGGGTCGGCCCTCTCGCGCCAGGGAAGCGGCCTGAGCTGTGGCCCTTTCTTAGCAAAGGGCGGTGGAGGGGCGGGACGAAAGCCTCTCCGAGTCGTGTCTGCAAGCGCTTTCATGCCGGTGTGTCCTCCGTAAGCGCTTTGAGGACGGTGTATCTTTCACGTCAGGGAAGGGTGGCTCCACTTTTGCAGGAAAAAAGTCTAAAGATGAGTTTATATAGCTTTATTTTTTACCTGATCAAAGTATACAGAGTTTTAATACGCATATGTTGTCTCTGACTTAAAACTGTGATGTCTGTGTTACCATGTACGTTGTCTGTCCATTACATGACACGATAAGAGCGGGTCTTCAAACATGTATTTAACGTGAACGGTGGCTACAGTTGTCATCACCACTGGAATTTATTCTTAATTATTCATAGAGTAGGTGCACTGAGCATAAATCAACCTCCACACGGCACTGTCAAACTGGTAATCCATTAACCTGCTTTGGAGAATTAAATTGTGAATTAAACCAAACCTGACGTCTCGGTAGCGTGCGTTTTGTGTGCCCCGTTTTCAGACTTTTTTTGAGTCAGTCTCACTGTGTCACCCAGGCTGGAGGGCAGTGGCTCGGTCCCAGCCACCGTAGCCTCGGCCTGCTGGGCTCTGGCAATCCTTCCACCTCAGCCTTCCAAGTCACTGGAACGACAGGCACGCACCACCATGCCTGGCTTTTGAAAACTTATTTATTGCAGAGATGAGGTCTCGCCAAGTTGCCCAGGCCGGTCTAGAATCCATGAGCTCAGGCCCAAAGTCATCCCAAAGTGCTGGGATGACAGGCGTGCGCCACCGCACCCACCCCTGACTTTTCTTTCTGCAGGTGAACTGTGACTCGTCGACACCAACCAAGCAGGGCTTTTCTGTAGATTAGCAGGGGACGGCATCTGCTGGCAGTAGGGGGAAAGCGTCCGCTCCGCTTCTTTGTAGAGAAATGAGGTCGCACAGGTGGCAATGCAGAGCCGGAAAGCAGGACGCCTCCTGGGCGCTTCCTTGGGGGGGACCTTCTGGCCTCCACACACCCCCACTTCGGCCTCGGCCCGCCCACCCACTCCCTTGCCAGAGCCCGGCCCTGAGTCCCTGGTGCTGACCCTCCCTCCTCCAAGGCCCGCGCCACACACCTCTCTCAGCTCTCTGGAATGCCCCCACCGCAGGACCTCCCTGACTGCCTCTGCCGGACCCCAGCCAGCCCCCTCTTCCCGGGGTCTGGGCGCCCCTTCTCCATCCCGGTTCTCCCTCTTGTCCAAACCGCGGACTCCCCAGGCCCTTCCACCCCAGGCTCTGTTGGCCAGGCCCAGCCTGGCTGGCTCTTTTTTTTTTTTTTTTTTTTTTTTGAAACAGGGTCTGGCTCTGTCACCCAGTGTGGTGGTGTGATGACAGCTCACCACAGCCTTGAACTCCGGGGCTCAGGCGGTCCTTCCGCTTCAGCCCCTCAAGTAGCTGGGACACTGGCGTCCTCCACCATGCCTGGCTACGGTTTTAGTGGGTTTTTGTTTGTTTTTTTCGAGATGGGGTCTTGCGATGTTGTCCAGGCTGCTGATCTTGAGCTCCTGGCCTAACGCGATCTTCCTGCCTCAGCTCTCTAGGTGCTGGCTCTACAGGCATGAGCCTCCGCGCCTGGACCCAGCTCCCTCTTGAGCAGAGGGTCAGTTCTCGCTCCCCACCGCCCCCAAGCCAGACAGATGTCCGGGTGCTGTCCAGGGATCCCGGGGACACCGTCGGTCCCCAGAGGCCATGACCTCGACCCCACCCTGAGCTCTCCCGCTCTTCCACCCCCGGGCTCCCGGCTCCACCGCGGCGCCCAGAGAAGGCAGGAGAGGCCTGTTGGGGTGGGTCGACGAGAGCCCTGGCAGCACCGTTGCCCGGCCAGGTGCCTGGGTCCCGCCTGGCCAGCCTTCTGTCCTGGCTCAGTCCTCGGTTCCAGTTCTGGCTTTGTCCGACTGGGTCCCCTGCGACAGACCCCGGGAGGTGCCACGCAGGCCCCTGGCTCCAGCCGGGAATCTAAACGTCCTTTCCAGGCCCTCCTCAGGTCCCAGGTCTGTGCGCACAGCCAGCTGCGGCACCTCGTGTCTCCCTGAGGGGATGGAGGGGGGAGGGCAGCATGGGGTGTGGGTGTGGCCCTGCTGCGCCATGCATGCCCGCTGAGAACACACCGCGAGCCAGGGGCTGCCTGGACAGGGCGCGAGCTCCCCCAGCCGTGGGCCGTCAGCCCCTGCCAAGGACCCCCAGAGTCGCTGGGGACCGGCCCTTGCGTGTACTCAGCAAGCCCCCTCAGGGCTCAGGTGGCCGGGGGGAGGCGGCCATGCAGCCTCGGGACCCCGGAGGACCCTGACACTTGTTTCGTGTGGCTGGAAGGACACCATGGTTCATCCAGAGCAGCAAGTAGTGGCCGTGAATGGAGGCGTGAGCTGGGCGGAGAAGTGTCCCTGATACCGTGCTGGGGTGCCCCAGCCCCAGACGTGGCCCAGATGCTCTCACTGAGCTCTGGGTCCCGCCGAAAGGGACCGCCCCACCCCGCACATCCGAGGAAGCCCGGCCATCTCCAGCAGCCCGGCCTATGTCACCAGTGACCGGGAAGAGGCAAGAGGGCTGCGGGGATGGGGTGCGTGGCGCCCTCCCCCCGGGTCCTGTCCTGCCCCTGCTCCAGGGGCCTCTGCGGAACCACAAGGCCTCAGCTTCCCCGAGAACGGCCACGGGGTGGCCCAAGCTGGGCAAGGCTGCACACGCGGCCGTCCCGGGGTGTCCGCTCAGCCCCTCTCGCCTCCAGAGCTCTCAGAGGAGCGTCAAGCCCTGAGCTTCCGGAACTTTCTGAGCCAGAGATGGGGAGACGGGGCCAGGCCTTGAAAAGGAGGAGGGGACGCAGGGAGCCCAGACCTCTGGAACATCCTTGCAGCAGGCCGGCGCCACCCGCACGCGATACGCAGTCATCGCCATGGGAGGCAGGGCCCACTCGGGCTTCCGTGAGAGCCACGTGTCCCCAAGGCCCAGCTGCCGCGCGGCCCCTCAGCACACTCCGCCCCGGAGCCAGACGGGGCTTCCCGCCTGGGTCCGGGCCCTCGGGGCAGGGGGCAGGTGCAGTCCTTCTGGTGCTGGACGTCAGGGTCCCGAGCGCAGGGTCCACGAGCCCCCTCCTCCCCCACCCTCGGCCTCCCCACCGGGCCTCCACGCAGGTCAGACCCTGCGGGAGGCAACTGCGGCCGTGGCTCCCCGGACTCCCGGCGGTGGCGGGGCCTCCCTCGCCCCCTCCAAGAGGCCCGCCCGGCCACTCGCACCCCTGCCGCCGAGACACCTGTGCATCCTCCCCTGCGTCCGCTTCGCTCACCCAACCTCCCCCTCAGCGGGCCCCTGAGGGCAGGTCTGTGAGGGCCCCTCCACTTCGCGTCAGGCAGCGCCGCAGCCTCCCCGCCCACCCTCATCCGCCTCTCACGGCCCGCGGGAGACTGCATCTGCGCAGTGACCTCCTTTCTGCCTTTTTTGCCTCACATGCGCCGTGCGAGCAGGAACTCTGCCTCGGCCCCGACGGAGCCCATGCCCAGCAGGGGCCTGGACACGGGACGGACTCCATGACCCCGG